CATTGTACAGTGGCATTAAGTGCCGTAATGTGCACCTCTGCCTACCCCTTCGGGGATAAAAAGGTGTGATGTTATGTTATGTTACATTAATTTAATATATTTGTATGCCGTTGGTGGCAAGACATAACTGGTCAATGCAAAGCTTGTAACATCTTTTGTAACTTGTGATCTACAAATAAAGTAATTTGAATTTTTATACAACTATCATGATAATAATTTAAGAAATATATTTATGTACTTACATTTCCATTTCTGCTAGGTTCATGGTCATTAAAATTGATTTTAGGTAGATCATCATTGAAAGACATTTCACAGGAATCATTGATAGTGATTGGAGAATATATTTTTTGGCTAGATTTCGCCTGAAAAAGAGAAATTAATAACATTTTGTCAGTCAATCCAAATTGAAATGGAAGAGATGCTTAAAAAATTACTATTATTCTTTTTTATGCATAAAACATAGTGATAATCTGATTTACTTTTCAGTTATTAAAAATGACCATAAAAACAAGTTTAAAATACCTTGGTAGGTCTATCATATTTTAACCTAAATAACAAATAGAGACGAGTAGAATTTTGCCATGATTGTAACAGTAATGTTGTTCTACGGTATTTAGACACTTATTAGAATTATTAATAACCTTTTCAACACTTGTCACTATTTTTAGACATTCATAATCTTTTATTGTTGTACTTACTGGGCTAAGGAAATCATTTCGTAATCTATCAAAAGATTCATCAAGTACTATAATATCTGGATTCTTGTCCTCTTTATGTATGTCTTGAATTGGTTTTGGTCTAGATTTCTTCAAAGAAAGCTTCAAAAATCCTGAAATCACACGTGTAAAGGTGGATTCATAAACCATTCACAAAATTATTATCGTTCGTGCGTTTTTAGAAGTAATTTTGCGTATGCTACTTACGGTTGCTTTGCTTATTATGTGTAGTTTTAGTTTCCATTGTTATCAAAAGTAAGAAATAGTAACGAAATTAATAAAATTAAAAATATCCATCAGCAAGACGAAAGACAAGATTGTTTTAAAAAAATATCAGCCGTTGAGTAATGACAATTTGTGATCGGTGCTACCAAGTACCAACCTTTTAAGGTAGAAGAAAAAAAGGAACGTAATTTACTTTTGATAAATTATTTAATTTAATTTTGGTGTTTTATAAATGTTAATAAATAGTGTGAATTAAGCAATAAGGTACATTGTTTTAACCATTGAATGAAATGTTAAAGAAATATAAATGCACGAACTAACATTATTGCCATCTAGCGGAGAGTAGTACCAAACTTTTCAACTTTATGTGGTGTCATAGTATTTCTATTTACCGCTAGAGGGCGTAATTTATAATGCTTCAGTTTCTGAATTATAGATGGCACTGTAGTATGGTTTTACGTATCTAAACTAGATGTCGCTTTATGCACAGATACAATTTTTCTTTATTATTTTTAAATTATTGACACGACATGTACATATTATTGTTTGTTTGTTTTACTAAATACCTTACAAAATAAAATAAAAATTAAGTCAAATGACAAAATTATTCTTTTCACTAGAGTTAAGCAATAATGCTATGTGCAATTACTTTATTTAAACAGAAAAAACCGCTTGCTCAGCTTTTATTTGTTGTCATCAGTTTTTAAAACCTTCACAGCATAATTTGCTATGCCTTTCATTTACATTTACGCAAACTACTCGTTGCACAGACAACTAGGTCAAGTGGTTTTGTACTTTACTTTTATTATGAAACGGTTTTCGGCAGATTCTCATCTTAGCATTATCATAACGCTTCACGTTCAAATTACGAAATAACATATTTTAGATTATTATCGCGCCATTAAAAAACTAAGCTTTATGGTCATTTCCGTTCTAATTTTAAATATTTTTGTTACAATCTTTAAACTAGTTTATTCGATTCCATGCATTCATTTCGTTATTAGTGTATAATATTTTTGTTTTAAATACGCAATTCAAATTTTATATTGGAATGAAGGCTATTTAGGTTTTTTTTACGTAATTTGTAGACTTTAAACTCATTAACGCTTGTGGTTTCCTATGTAAATAGACATCATTTTATATCAGTCTGAATACATCGATTAGGTACTGAACAAAGGAGTCGGTTAGCCCCCCATGCTTGGCAACCAATTTGGCGATGACAATTATGTGTTTCTCATTTCTTCTATGTATAAGAACAGACCGACCCTGCAGTGAGACACGTACCTTCTTACTAAACAGCCTGATGATGATTTAATTAAAAAATAAAAAATGTCTAATGGATAATGTAGGTACAGTAAGTAAGTATATAAGTGAATTTGATAATAAATTTTAATATTGTATGCTACCGCTACTGGTCGGTTCCTATTTTTATATTTTTAAATATTTTCTTTTAGTATAGGTACCTATTTAGTACTTATAATCATTTTTATAGAGAACTTTAAATAAATATATGGAATTAATAATACCTTATAAGTTTATAGTTAGTAAATTAACACTGAATGAATGTTACAGATTACAGCAGATGCAAAACACAGCAAATAAATTATTTTTCTTTCTTTTCTTTCCAGATGTAACTTATTCGAGCATTCTCGACTAGTTTCAAGCGAAGACAGGGGCTTACGCAGCACGCAAATACAATATTTTGACAATTTACGTTTTGACATATTGACATTGTATTTAGCATTTAAACATTTTATGAAATACTAGCTTCTGCCAGCGGCTTCGCCCGCGATCCCAGGGGGAAAATGCCAATTACTTCACACCATATTCATCCTCTGTTCCGAATTTCATACCGGTCCCTTCAGTAGTTTTAATATGACTGAGTAACAAACATTAAGCTTGCACACGCGACGGAAGCTTAAAAAATGGAGTAACTTCTCCCGTTTTCCCAATATTTCCCTTCACTGCTCTGCTCCTATTGATCGTAGCGTAATGAAAAGTATACTATAACCTGCCCAAGAGTATGAAGAATAATTGTGCTAAATTTCGTTAAAATCCGTCGAGTAGTTTTTGTTTCCATAACGAACATACAGACAGACATACAGACAGACAAAAATTTTACTGATTGCATTTTTGGCATCAGTAGCGATCCCTAACCACCCCTTGATAGTTATTTTTAAAAAATATTTTATGTACAGAATTGACCTCTCTACAGATTTATTATAAGTATAGATAGATTTGAACATTTTGATGGAAATAACATTGTTACTTCTATTTAGTGACATGTACCAACCAAATTCTTAAGTATAATGTGTGATTCAATTTACTTGGCATTATTGTAATTACTAGTTTTTTTTATTTTATATAGCTTGGTTAACATAATATTTCTACACCAGCAATGGTACCTAGTGTATGTGAAACAATATTTAATTTAATGTAAAACCTCAATGTACCATATATTTGGAAATAAATGACATTCATTCATTCATTCATTCAATATGAACCTAATAGACTATACTCGGAATTTTAATTCGATTTCAGATTTGACAATTTCAGTGTTGCAACGTTATGACAAGTACTAAATAGTGACGTTGCGAAATTATTCGATATGGAAATTAATTATTTCTGGATCGATTCCTCTCGTTTATAATTTTACTCTCGTAAACTAAGTATATCAGGAAATTAAATACTTCTGTTCCGATAATTTAGATTTGACGATAAATTAACGGTCTGAGGCTTTTCTTTTATAATTATGTGTGAAATAAATAAAAAATGTAATCATGAAGGAACATGACAAATAAAACAGATAGATGTATTATGGTAATAATTATTTTATAAATTGTCGCCGTCATCGCTATCGCTATCCTGTCACTTTCTGTAACATTTATTATGAAACAGTCACACTGATTGTTTATCGATTTTTGTGTTCATCACTACACTATTATATGTGGTATCATTATTTCACAAAATGACAGTAGCTATTGTCAAATCTGGAATCTAATTAAAATTCTGACTATAGATGATTATTCAGTTTTGTATAAGTTAAATTGCTGCAGCCCAGGTTCACATCAGGGTATAGTGTATGCTGCGCCATAATAGGGTCATGTACCTTACTAGTGGTGTGTAATACCTCTATGTAAGTATGTACCTACATTGTGCAATAAATAAATAATATCTCTATCTACAGATAGATTCAACCTACTTATCAATTACTCATCAGACCCATCATTATTTACAAAATAATTGAAAATCATCATGACTGTTGTTATGACAGCATTTTTATTGTCATTGTACATCTGTATTAGCTACTTAGGTAGATTAAAATTGATTAAAAAAAAATGGTTGCCTGTAAAGTCGTTTTTACGGGCGAAGATTTTACGTGACAACGTCTTTTTCTCGGTAGAATATTTATTGATATGAATATAATTAAATTGCACAATAGGAACAAGGAATTGAATGAACTAGTGCTGCGCGCGCGGCAGACCGATCATAGTTGAGTGGGAGAGAGACGCAAGGCATTCGGCGGGCCTCTCTCTCGTTCGGTGACTCATCGTAACGTTACCGAGCGTTACACTTTTTCATAAGTGACTCCCAGCCGCAACCTAATTTAAGACGTTGTCACGTCAAAAGATAGTTGTGACGTATATAAACAAATACTGTGGCACCTGGCTACTATAGATTTACACGCAGAAAACGCACACATTGACACGAAGGACATCTGTCGCGTGACATGGCCCGTCATACTCATTACACTTCATACATTACGGCGTTGTAAGTACACGCACACAGATACACCATTACACCACTGACATTTTGGTGCCTCAATAATTTTTATGCGACAGCGATGTGTTTCATTTGTGTGTGATGAAGTGTCCGCCTTTTTTACTTAGGTACCTATTTCTAAAACGTTAATCTATATCCCATACCACAGAAAATTTATAAAAAAACTCCTATATAATAATAATATGCTTCGTGTCCCACACTATGTAGGTATTAAGACTAGGATTTTCTATTGTGTTATAGGTACTAACTACCGATGGTCAGTCGTAAAGATACTACACATACTCGTTTCATATACGAATTATCCAACGAAACAATGTACCTAACCAAGAACTGTCACAGAGGTCATACCCACTTTTCATTATTTATGTTATGAGTCCCATGTAATAGGGGTGAGCCTACTGCCATATATTGGGCACATATTATTATCCAGACTCCGTGCTACTACTGAGAATTTTAAATACCTAGTAATATTTTGCCCGATCCGGAAATCGAACCCCAGCCCTTTTTCCGGCAGTCGCACTTGCGACCCCTCGGCCACCGAGGTAATAGTAAAATAAATAGTCATAATACCACAAACAAAACCCTAAAACGTAAGCTTGTTAACAAAGTGTTAGCGTACTAAGCAAAAGTATTTAGAGCTTCACTAATTCGGTCGATAAAACGGACAAGTCCAGTTTTCTGAACCTGAAAACTTACAGTTGACTTACCGGCTTAAATAATCTTCAAATAATTCGGTACCTACTTGCCAACTAGTCAAATTCAATACTTTTTTCGAACTGTCAAAAACGACAGTTTTCTATGAACTTTGTACGAGATTGTGTATTGTGACGTCACGTTTTTTTAACGTCAAACAGCATACTTATTTCTTAAAAAATTGCTGGTGAAATACTAAAATTAAGTTAGTCATAAAATCAATTAATGAAATTGTGATTGTTTTTTAATATTTTATTGTATTGAACAGTCGAAACAATTTATTTTTGATTAAGGCAAACACATACTTGTTTACGCACTCACACTCTTAGCAACGCGTAACGCCATCATTCCTGAAGAGGAAGTTTTTACCAGAAGTTTATAGTAAGGTAGTTTAAAAATAAATAAAAGTAGATAGGCAAAAGTGCATATATTCCTAGTACTGTCTCTCACGCCCACTTTTAACCAGTCTCATAAGGTTGTTTCAAGTCTGAACTCATCAGGCCTATTTATCCATGTATTTAATAGGCAGAGAGCCTATTGTCATAGTTGAGCATAATCCCAGTCTCCATGCAGTCCGTAATATTACTAAAAATGTTGAGAAAAATCTCGATAACTAAAGAAAGAAATTATTTTTCTAATTTGTTTGTTATTTGACATGACGCACCAAATTTACACAAACAT